TTTCAATGGTAACGAACCAGATACGGGATGCATCCAATTGCCCCTTGGCCAGAAGGTGCTTCAGTACAGGAATTTGCGGCAATTTTCTAGAGATGACGGTATTTCATACAGGTTCAACTGACCTTTCTCTTCCACCCTCACCAAAGCCGAGGTTTCCGGGGATGACTATCTTTCTCTTCTCTCCTATGCACATTCCAATCATTGCTCGATCCATTCCCGCGATCACTCTCCCTTTACCCAGAACGAAGGTGTATCTGAAACGATGAACATCTTCAAGGTTTTACTTTCCTTTCAGGAGATTCAGTCTCCTCAAACTTACGGCTCTTTGCCGAAGTTACTGCCAATTTCCTTGCCGTCTTTGTCGGTCAGTCGGTAGAATTGCAGGACTTCATCACCCGCTTTTGAGACTTCCTTGCACTGCCTCCTTCTTGATCGGCTTCACAATCTTGATCTCGAGGCCGTCATCCTCCTGAAACGAAGCTACTTTACTGCATTCAAATAATCATACTTACTTAATGAACCCATTAACCTTCAGGGATAAGCGACCAAAAGCCATTCTTAGCGCTACATATACAAGTATATGGAGTAAAGAAGGCTTACCAGATCCCATCATTAGGTGGAATCATCAATCATCATTTTTTGCAACACTTCACCAACCTTCCAGGAAAGTTTCCGATCTTCCTCAGCACTGGCTAACCCAACAGCTATCAGCACAATCAAGAAAAGCATAAAAATCTGAAGAAAGACGTTTCAGTTGGAGGAAATATTTAAGGACAAAAGGCCCTCCTACTGAATCACAATAGGGAAGGGTGACGGAGAATGTCGCTGGAGGATCACATTTGCTTCTGGCAGACAATATTTTCGGTACCATTCCTCCCCCACCTCACGTTTTCTCCCGAGTTTTCTGGGGAAAAAGTGGAAAATCGAAGGAAATTCCATAGGAAGATGGTAGGTGCGATGGGAGATTTGGAAGGGAGAGGGCCACAGAAATTTCTGTGGGCAGAAGGACTGGCAAAGACTCCAAGGTTTTTAGAGAAGAGCTAGCAGAAGGTGCTGGCAAACGGCAGGAAATGGTATATAATCTGAGAATCGGTTAGTATTCCCCCGGAAGGATTACAGTTTTCTTGCTGTCTCAACGACGTTGACAAGGTCGACCGCCCCTTTACGGTGGTCTTTGCTCCCATATGAGATTGACGATAAGAAATGGGAGATAAGGAAAATGAGTACTAACAGCGGATCATCTCCATTGGCTTCACAGTACTCAAACGGTCACAGTGGTACTTTCCTGGACCAGTGACTAAGCACTGGATGCCTAGTCAGGACTGCAATAACCCAAAAAGGACCAAAAAAATGGGTTGAGCTTTTTCAACAGCTCACCCATGAACCACCTCTCTACTGACCCAGAAATGATTGTAGGGTCAGAGGAAAGTGAAGAGACGGTTTGGGGAGCATGTTTGACCATGGAAATGACGGTTTGAATGGGATTAGGCGCAGATCGAGGTGAACTGGAGTACTTAGTCCATAGAGAAGTAAAAAGAACTAAAAAGAGATTCTTTTGCAGGCGCGAAGACTTTCCCTGAAGCGCCCTTCTGATCTACGCAAAGTACGGGTATCCCAGGTAAAGTTCCGTATCGCTAGTAGGGTCAGCAGCAAGCCAATAAACCTCTTATGCTAGCTGACGGAATAAAAAACTACAACACTTCGAAAAATGTCGAAAGTTTGGGGGCCCCGCAAAAATAATCTTCAGGAATGTCTCAACTAAAAGCATTTACTTCCAGTAACTAAACTGTTCAAAAAAGAAAGAAATAAGGGAGACCCAGACTGCTGCGGCAACTTGGACATTCTCGTCGTGCAAGTTTGCCGCGGTGTTACACCTCGGGAATACCAGAGACGGGTCAAGGCTGTCCAAGAAATCACCCGATCTTTCAGGAACACCCAATATCGATCAATAGCCAGATTGGAGAAGAAACGACAACTGGTCACAGTGGCCGAGTGAATGAGCAGTCTGCTTCAGTGTAAAATTGACCAGTCGTGGGATCCAGTCCTCGATGACCACGTATACGCTCCTCCCTCTCTCATCGCGGATCTCAATCTTCCACAAAAACCTGAAGAGATGGCGAAGATGCCGCAAAGTGGGACCAGAATGATCAAGGACTTTCGGTTTTCACCCGCAAATGCAGGCAGAGGGAAGATCGGGGATTTGGAGAAGATTCTCGCGGATCAACGAACAAGGGATATGGCAATAGGGCTATAGCGCAGGGGCAAAAAATTCAAGTGTTTGTGTGACTCAAGGCAGCCGAAGATTCCGTCGATAACGGACCCTGCACCAGTAATGCAACGTTTCTTTCATAAAAAAAAGAAACCACTATCATTTAAAAGCTATACGATCACTAGCGATGACATGTGATGCCTATACCTCACTAGGTACAACCATATTCTACAGTATACTATACTATACAGCACTAAAGTACAGTGTCCTGTAGTATACTGTACTATAACAGCGCATTTTTTCTTACACAAATTTTTGCATCGAAAATGAGATCTTTTTCCAATGTGTTCTATGCTTCTTGATAGGTAGTTTCCCGTTCTACATAATGATGCACTTTATCTCGGCTCTCAAATTTGACGCTTGAAATTTGTAGTATTCAAAATCAAGGGGAACGTGATTCGCATGGCAGCTCGAAGTTGGTTCAAGCGATTAGGAGATGGGAAGTCGGTCCTTGTAAATGTGCATCGCATGGGGCCCTCTTGGGGAGCGACTGCCTGCAGAACCTACCCACTAACTTTGAACGTCTAACATCAACTGAGGGTGATGCTTGATATGATAAGGAAGCATTCCATGACCTCTAACGATTCCTCAATCTTTGGCATGAATCTCCATGAATAAGGTATTCAGTAAGCTCTCAGTTGGACTCAATAGGGCATTAGGTTCGATGCCTTGTCTGTGAGGTCGAAATTGAAATGCTTGAATCGTCTGAACCGCTGTAAGCATTTCTAATGGGCAGTTCTTCTCAGCCATATACTTAGCAACTGGGCCTGTGCGGTTTCAGCTTTTTAATTAGAGGTAAAAAAGAGAGGCTGTCGAAAATGCTCAATTTCGTCGACCTGACACTCCAGTTTGAGCACTTAAATATTAGTGGAAAGAGAAATTTCAAAAAACTAAGAGGATCATTATATAGGGCAAGGAAAAGAATCTCTTCAAATGTTATGAAACTCAGTAGCAGAT